TGCACTCTGCCGGTGTAGAAACAGACACTCAGTGAAATCTTGGTGCAGGCTCAAAGCAGTCGATGGGAGACTTGCAAAGCAAGCAACAGGACTCCGTAAACTATACAGCACAGTCCGTAAAAGTCCAGTAGAGGTCTTGGGGGTTCAGCTCCCCTTGGTGTTCTTTGGAAGCACTCCCTCCTCCTCCCGCTCTGCTCCTGGTCTTGCAACTAGCAGGCAGGAAACGGGCACGGGGCAGGCAACCTTGGCCTTGAGCTTGCGAGGAGATTAGGCACGCAGGAGAAAGGCTGGAGCCAGATGCCATCCTTGCCCCTGCAGGGTCTCTCCTCCCTCTGGATGCTTTCCTGGAGAGGCAGCAGCCGGCCAGCCGGCCACTCACTCACTCACTCACTCACATGGCGCACGCTTCAGCAGAGCATTCCTCGCTTTTCGGCCAGGCATCCAAGTCAGCAGAAGGGCTTCCGAGCGGAGCGAAAGGGGGCTCGCAAGTGATTAGCTTACGGCCTTTCCCATGCACCAACACCACACCACACAGACAGGGCGCATACAAGCCTTTCCCATAAGAGGCACTACTTTCCTTCAGTTCAGCAACAACAACATGCTTTACCCGCGGTTTTCCCACGTATTGCAGTGATAAAAGAAGGAAGGCCAGAATCCCCGACCTGCACCTGCACCCTTCCTCCCAAGTCCCCTCGAGCACAGCCCACTGGGGCACAAGCAGTCTCCAGTTCCCCACGTGCAGCTAGGAAATCAGGCACAGCCCTGATCAGCAAAAGGGGAGATTTGTGCACGCTTAGACACACACACACACACACACACACACACACACTTGCGCAGCCCAGTTGGGCAGAAGAACCATCAGGAAATCAAGCCAGGGGAAACACAAACACTCAGAGACGGAGTTTCTTTCGTCTACACACGAAGCCTTGCCCGAGGAATCGGCCTCCCTCCCCCTTTCCCTCTGGAGGGTGGCAGAGAAGAGGAGGCATTCCAGATGGCATGGACACAACTCTCACACACGCATCCTACAAAGATTACGTGGTACCCAACAAACAACTAAGCCCCTCAACTTTCTTCTTGGATGCGCTTCAACTTAGAAAACATACACAAAACTTACACAACCACAGGAAGTGCGAATAACTGGACAGGGTTGTACACAAACCACAATATCAGCAGAATCCAACCAACTACACACCACCCCTTTATTTTCTTTTTTCCCCTTTTTTTTCTTTCTTTTCCCTTTCCTCCCCCCCCCCCTCGCAGCCTACCTAGGAATCTTTTGCTGAGTCCCCCAACCAATTCCGACCAACCCCCCTCCAGAGACGGTCCGGGATTCACTAGCCCTTTGAACTGGCTGGTGCCCCCCCCGCAGAGCCTCGCACGGGGCCTCTATCACTGGGACCCTGATCTCACAGGGTCCCCCCAAAATCAGAACTTCCCTGGCCAAATTAAAATTCCCCAAAGTGTATATTGAAGCAGTTCATATGAATGGGGGGGGGAGGCATGTGAATGCAGTTGACATGTGCATGGGGGGGGTCCTTTTACCGCTACGTAGCATTTCCGTCCCACACATTTTATTAAAGGGATAAGCCTGCCTTCGAAAGCTGATGCCTCTGCATAAAGCGTGCTAGTGGGGCCCTTCTGAGGTCTCCCCCGCTCCCCAGATCAGCAGGGCTCCCTTGTCTGTGAAGGGGATGCGAGGGCGATCTGGCTGGAGGGGGAGTTGAGGAGGGCCTGAAAGAGAGGGGTCAGAAGCCTGGAGAAGGGCAGGCAACACACGGGTGGGTGGAGGCGCTTGGTGGAAACCAGGGTATGTACCAGGATAGAGAAGTACCCAGGGAGACCCTGACCGCTCCAGTTGTATTTTCTTTTCTTATCTCAAGCTTTGATTTCCTTTGCCAGCTGTGTCTTTTTTTCCAAGTGCTTCTCATCACCTCGCTTGTCTTGAAAGAGATTAGAGGATGGGCATCTGCTTATCAGGAAGGCTAAAGGGATAACACTTCATGGAAAGAGAGAACTACACCGCCCTTCCCCTCACTTTAAACAAGTTGTTTAATATTTAATTAACAATTATTTAATATTAGGTTTGTGTGGTTGTATAAACAAAAATAGTTTATACGCTAAGAAAGAAATGAGAAAATGAGTGCTGCCTGTACACAGGGAAGACTTTATGCAAAGGGAGAACTACAGACTCCCTTTGTGCTCTCTTCCCATAATCCGTTTAGGTGTTCCTTCCATTCGGTAAGGAGAGGAAAATGTTTGAAGAGTTTGTCATCTACACAACTAACTTGCTCAACAAGTGGAAACAGATGATGAAAGCAAATGGAATTTTTCACTACTTCTTGGACAGAATTTTCCATCCAATTCTGCTGGGCACAAACGCAAAGGAAAATCAGGAGCAACGCCTGCCTTCTTCAAGTCCTCCGTGCTAACCTTTTTAGCAAAATTGCTTTCAGCAACTCGGAGGGTGGCTGTCCCGAGTGCTTTAATGGAGCATCCGGCAAATTAGGAGAGACTCTGTTCCAGATTACCTTAATGGCTCAGAACCGCCACATGAAAGAACCGACCCTTTGTCCTTTTCCTTACACGGCTTGGTGAGTGCGCAGCCCAAACCGAAAGGCGAACGCAAAGGGGGCAAAAGGGAACTAACCGTTCCCCGCGAAGTAGAACGTCTGACTGCTGAATACGTCTTCAGGGGTCATCTCCGTTTTCTTTTCGGAGCCCCGCGTAAGCCCAGGCTGTTCCTCTCCGCCCCAAGAGCCCCCAGGCGGCGGCCTTCCCCTTCGGCTGCCCCTCTGAGGCCCCAGAGCAGCATGACCCCGGACGCCCTCCCGGGAAAATCGAAGCGCTTGGCCGGGGTGGGGTCTGCGAAAGCCTGGCTGCTGTTTCCTGCCCTTCTGGAGTCAGCACCAGTGACGGCCCCGTTTCCTCCTCCTCCTCCTCCTCCTCCTTTTTCTCTTCACGGCGGCAGTTCCCTTTTCAGGAGGAAGGCGCCGAGAAAGCCCGTCTCTCCTCCTGCGGCCCACTGGCCCGCCAGGCCGCAGGAGGACGGAGGGGGCTGCTTTGGAAGGCGGGCGAATCTCGCGCCCCGCAGCTTCAAGAGGCTCCTGCGAAACGTGGCCGCCGGCAGCAGCTCAGGAGGCCCGAAAGCGGTTCAGACTTCGAGGGCCCCGATCGCGCAGAGATCTCGAGCAGAGGAGCGACACCCTAAGCGCCCCCCCCCGCCTCCTCC